GATCTAACCAAGAAAATGTACTGAGAGAAAAGGAAAGGAGGAGTCAGACAAGGGTAAATTACATCACAGGAAAAGGCACAAAAACCTGTTACAGCAGAGGGAAAGAAGGGAGGGAGATGAGTATTGTTTGAACCTTATTCTCATCAAATTTGGCTTAAGAAGGGAATAACATAATCAGTTGGAGGGAAAAGGGAGGAGAAAAGGGAGGGGGCTAATAGAAGGGAAGTGGGACTGAGGGAGGTGGGTCAAAAGCAAAACATTAGTGAGGAGGGAAAAGGAGAAAAGAGAAAGAAAAGTATAAACGGGGGGGTGGGGGTAAGGATGACGAGAAAGACACAGATAGTTATCACAATTGTGAATGTGATATATGAATGTAATGAGAAATGATGAACAGGCAGACTTCAGATAAACCTGCAAAGACTCGTATGGTTTGATGCTGAGTGAAGTGAGCAGAACCAGGAGAACGTTGTACACCATAACAGCCATATTAAGTGATGACTGATTTTGATAGACTTAACCCCTCTCAGCAATACAAGGATATAATGCATCTCCAAAAGCCTCATGATGGAAAACGCTATCCACATCCAAAGAAAGAACTATGGAGCTTGAATGCAGGTCAAAGCATACTATTTGCTATTTTTTTCCTTCTGTTGTATTCTGATTCCTCTTTCTGGTGTTTCCTCCTATTAATTCAAATTCTTACTTACAACATCACTAATGTGAAAATATGTTTAATATGAATATATATGTATAGCCTATATTAGATTGTGCACCATCTTGGGGAGGGAGGTAGGGAGTGAGGGGGAGAAAAATTTAAAACTCAAAAGCTTATGGAAGTGATTGTTGATAAATCAAAATAAATTAATAAAAAAAAGAAAAAAGAGAAAAAAAGGAAAAAATAAATAAAACCCAGTCACTTAAAAAAATAAAATTAAAACTAGATTCCTTGTTTTAAAATGATTAGAAGAACCTCTGTCTAATCAAACTGGCAAGACTCCTATTTCCCTGGAGAGGCAAGGTACATAGGAGTATCAAAGAAGTCTGGCTGAGTTGAAGGATCTGCCTTGGCAAGATATTTGGTGGGTACAATATTGGAAAATCCATGCCTATAATAATTATTATTTTTTAAGCTTGTAGGCACATTAGTGACAAGAAAAGGCACTATAGAGGGAAATGGTGGTAGGCTTCTTCTATTGCCACATATATTCCAGGTCTTAACTGTCAAACTATTTTGTCATCCTCCCTCAGTCCTGACACCAAGAAACTGACAACCCACAGCTTTTTTCAGAGAACAGAGATGTTAATATGGTCCATGTTAAAAATCTGTGGCTCTGTCAGTTCACTTAATTCTTAGATGCCCTTAAAAACTATGTTAGTTAAGTTGGCAAATTAGGAAGCCTATGCCAGCTTCTTTTAGTTCTGCCTACTTTTATTTTGTTATTCTACTTCTCAAAAAACTTTCAATGGTTCTTCACTTTTAATCAGATAAAATCTAAACTTCTTACTCTGGCATTCAATGTCCTGTAAAACCTTAATCTCATGTTTTTCCAACTTAGTCTGCTACTATTTTCAATGTAAAACCTCCACTCTAGCCAAACAGATCCAACTCATGGTTTACCAAAATAGCTTATATTTTCCAGGAACACCAAATAATTAATTCAAAAAATACATATTAGGTACTTTATGTCAAGAGATTTGGGGGGGAACACAAACTAAACAAGATAAGTATCTAGACACGAAGAAGCATAATATGATTTATGAGATATGTAAACAACATAAAAAGAATTAAGTTCTTTAAGGAAGCTATGAAGTAGACAAGAGGAAGGTATCACTTTATGGCTAAGGAGAACAGGAAAAGATACAATGAAAGACATAGCATTTGATCTGCATCTTAAAGGATGGAGAGAATTTCAACAGTCAAAGTCGGGTATGGGGAAAAAGGAATGTCATTTCATTCAAAAGAAACAGTATAAACAAAAGGAAATAGCAGGAGATATGTCTGGAAAGTTCATGGTTAGGTAGTGGAGAACGTTGGAAAACTATAATATTTAGAATTTAGTCTGTAGGCAATGTGAGGCCAGTGCTTACAAAAAGAACTGTTTCTGTTTACAAAAATGATAGTATTAGTCTGGCAATGATATATACGAGAGGCTTGAGTAGGAAGGTGTTAAATGTGGGAAGAGGCCTTTGAAATAATATAGGCAAGAGGTAATGAGGATTTCAACTAGGTGATAGCCATAGGAATAGAGAAGGGAGAATAGTTAGAGAAATATTCTAGGTAAAACATCAACTGAACTTAGCAAATGACTAGATGAGGGGGACAAGGTAGAGACATGAGTCAAAGAAAATGCTATCAATTGGGGTGCAGTCAAGATGATGGAATGAGAGTTGGCATTTCTGCCTAGCTCTCCCAACAGGCCAACATACCCTAATGTCACCATAGAAAATATGCCAAAACAAATTCTAATTGGGAAAGCCAAGAATAAGATACAGTTAGTTATTTTTCAAGCTTAGGAAGTTAGAGGGAAAGGCTTGTGGACACTAGGGTAGGGGCTAGCCAGGAGTACAGTGCAGCAGCCATAGCATCACCTTGGCAGATGGAAGCAGCGAGAGCAGCAGTGAGGAGCCCAGTGCCCTAGGACAGTAAGAGGACTGAACACTTGGTCAGAAAGACATCCCAGGGACCCCTGCACTAGCACTGGGAACAGGAATGGATGCTATCGGGCAGCTCTGTCACCTATTACTCAGTTCTGGGTCTTAGTTCCAAATTAGAGAGGAGGGATCCTACTTGTATAAGGAGCAAGGAACAAGTTTCAGAAACATAGCTATGTGGTTCTAAGCTCAAAAACACGAGTAGGGACTCTGTTCTCACCTATAGTCCCACATACAAGCCTGCAGTGGAATAGAACAGTGCAGGATACCAAAACCAAGGGGGAAGCTAGCAGTTCAGTAGCTCTGTACCTTCAGAAGCTCCCAGCAAGCTAACTGTGACTGAGTTCAGCAAAAGTCTACAGAAACTCAGTAACATACAATCCAACAGACTCAAACCAAGTCAAGGATTTGCAGAGCACAAACCAGGAGAGCAGTGAGCAGACCTCTTCCTGGACCACGTCACTTTGGAGGCACTAAAATCCTACAGGTCCCCCAGCTGACCTGAGATAGCAGCAGAAGGACATAAAAGACAGAAGATTAGGTCACACATCTCCATTCCATTCCCCTTCCCCAGAGGTAAGCAGAACTCAACACAACATAAAGTCCAAAGTCAGTAAGTTGGCTGGAAAAATGAACAAACAACAAATAAGAACCTGATCATAAAAAGCTACAATGGTGACAGGAAAGCTTAAAAACATCTTCAAGCAAAACCCCAAAGAAAAATACAGATTGGACAAAGCCGAACAAAAATTCCCCCAAAATGTTGTAGCTTTAATCTAGGTAACTAGAAGGATAATAGTATATTAACAGACAATGGTTTTATTCCTAGTCTCCTCCCATAAAGGTCTACTTATCCTTCAATACTCATTTCAAATCATACTTTCTGTATATGTCTTTTTCTCTCCAACTAAATGACACATTTCTTAAAGGAAAAACCTCTGTCTTAGATTTTTTTTGGGAGTATGCTGTATTATGTTTATTATGGTGTTGTGTACACAGTAGGTGTTCAATAAATATATTCACTGATTGTTTATATTGGTCATTAGGATTAATGACTGGAAACCTCTATGTTTAGCCACTAGAGGACAATGTATTTACAACTACAAACAAGGTTTTCATTGCCTGTCGATTCATGTGTAATTTATTCCCCCTTTCATTAAACTAACACTGTATAGTGACCTAAATTAATCAATCAAACCAATAGCTAGTAAATAGAGTTTTCTTCTTTTCTTTTTTTTTTGACCCTCCTTTTCCAGAAAGAAAAACAGAGTAGGCAAAGCATAAGGAATAGCATAAGGAAAATTGGATTGGGAAGCAGGAAACCCAAATTCTAGTATGGCTTAGAAAATAAGTAATTATACCAACACTGACAAGTCACTTTCCCTCTCTGGGCTTCAGTTTTCTTTTCTGTAAAATGAGGGTTTTATTTCTTCTAGATTCAGTATTACAGGATTCTATGTTGAAATTTCTGGCCCAAAGAAAGATTTCTTGATTTAAAATAAAATTTGTAATAAACTTCATAATCAATATCATTAACTATCGATTTGAACTACTAAGGAGGTTAATGAATACATCTTTCTGTTTTATGAAAGGGGAAACTGAGGCAAGAGAACAGTCAATATAAGGCCACTCCCTTAGAAAGAGAACCATGGTATAATTTTAGTTTCAAAAGTTTATCATAGTTCATCCATATGTCTAGACCTCTTAGGATGTTTGTTTCTCTATTTCTTTCTCTACACATTGCAAATTCCTCTACTGATACCTATAAAATGTGCAACTTCACTGACTGAATGAAATTGAGAAATAGTCAGCAGACCCCTAATGGGGTCTGTCACCCATCAGTCCCAAGATTAAGTTCCTAACAGAGGTAAAGATGACTTTGGTTAAAGATATCATAGTATGGCTCAGTCCCAGTCTGCTTCCTTTTGTTTAACCGGTCTGCAGGCCACTTAACTGTTCACTTACTTTTAAAAACTATACTTACTGAAAACAGAATAGAATCATTTTAGCATAGAAATCAGATGATATGAGAAAAATAAAGACAACAGATTTAAATAGAAATGGAAAATAAGCTTATGGTAGTATACTGTATCACTTCAACTTCATCATCCTCCCGAAGTATATCTACATCCTAACAAAAACATTATTACCTAGGCTCTCCAAGGTATAAGACATATACAGAGGTGATGATGCTCTAGAAGCTTTTATCCTAGTGCCTTAAAGAAGCTACTGCACCTAAAACTATTTTCAATCATATAAGAGAGACAGGAAATTAGAACATAGATGCTTCACAAAGCATATGTGCACTGCCACCACTCCCTATCACTTTGTTCAACTGCTGTAGATACCTGGTAGCAGGTGTCCAGTTCTTTCCCATTGGCTGAGAAGGATATCATGCCTGTGGCCAAGTCAATGAGGCAGCCAATTTCTAGGTCCACATTACTTCGACTTGATCTCTGGGAACTGGCAATTACATCTCCACCCCAAACCATGTAGCAATTGCTGCGTTTCACACTAGGAACCAAAATTTAAAAGAAAAAAAAAAGAGGATTAAAAGCTACTAAGTCTAGCCTCTGGGAGCTAATAATCAAACCTGAATAATGATAATGCCTTAGGTAACATTAATTTAGGTGTGTTTCCAAAATTGATCAACTTGAATGAATTTCCCTAAATAAAACCATACTTTGCCACATTTCACCAAACATAAATCATTACTCTCTACAGACAAGTGGAAATTTGCAAGTTGGCTCACCAACCATTATATGAAGAGACCATTTTTAGATGTTAAATTTATCATCACAAGAAGGCCATGAGACAGGATAGACTCACACTTTACAAGTGAAAAAAAGTGAAGCACCAATGTTATAGACATGCTTAGAGTTACACTTTAAGAACAAGAGTCTAGGCTCACAATCTAGCATTCAGGCCAATAAATCAGGGAACAACTTAGTAATCTTGCCCACATTTTCTAAGATTTATCCTTACTAAGCAAAACTACAGCACACAGAATTTGTCCTTGGAGATTCTCCCAATTCTTTTGTTGGTATTCCCTCTCTCCATAATGCTCTGAGCTAGTGTCATACTACAAAGTGTAAACAGTGTGATGTTATTCCTTTCAGGGATATTTAGATTTTAATAAGAAACTCTTGAAGACCAAAAGTCTTTTAGTATCCAAAGGATTAAATCTACAATGAGAGAATTTCAGGGCCTAAAGATTGTTGTGACAAGTTTTTAAAGGCTGTAGCACTGGAAAAGCTTCAAGCATGGACCTGGCAACAGACTACATCTGCTATTTGTGGACTAGCCTCATTTTGTGTGGGGAGGACTATTACCAGTAAGAAAAACAAGTTCACCTTGAAGCAGTATTATTCTGATGGCTGAAGGTCCATTATATGTAGGTGGCTCCAGACCAGACCATGTTTCTTCACTCTAGCCAACTTTAGTTTTGCCACCAGACATTATTGCTACATCCTCCAAAAGTGAACTCTTAACCTAGGTTGTTCTAGTCTAATTGTTAAGGGCCAATTATATCTAGCCAGCCTCAGACTCAACCATGCATCTGTAACCTACCACCTCCTATCCTGTTACTACACCCAAAATTCTACTGCCAGGGTCTGATTTCCAGGTTTTGTTTGGGGAATTATAAACATATCAACAAATTGCTCTGGAAGGAGTATGTCAATTGATTGTCCTATTCTTCCATTCAGAGGACTGTCAGTGAGTCCATTGGAGCACATCAGTTTTGATGAGAGGTTTTGGGAAACAGACTCATACAGAATTTGCAATCTTACCACAACTTTATGGTCTTTTTTATGAAACCTGTTGTCCAGTTACTCCTACTTGTAAAGTTAATTTATTTATTGAACCAAAGTGTAAGACATTACATATGTGCTCATTTAATCTTTTAAATTAGGTAAAATATTCTAGCCTATTAAGATGCTTTTGGATCCTGATTCTGTCATGTAGTATGTTGACTATCCCACTGAGCTTTGTCAGGTACAAATTTTATACAAGCATGCCATGATATCCACAGTCTTGATAAAGGTTGTCATACAGAAAGGGACTAAGAATAGATCCCTGTATCAACTCCTAAGCTGACACTGAACAATTAAAGATTATACTTTTGGTGTGGCCATTCATCCAGTTCCCAAATCTACTTAATTGTGCTATCATCTAGTCCAGAGATTCCTAAACTTATTTTACCACCTACCACCCCCTTTAAAAAAAATTATTCAATGTCCCTCCCCCACGCTCCCTGGAAAGCTATTTTCTTTAACTCTTTTACTTTTTAAAAAAAATTATGTCATTTAAAAAAAAATACATATATATATATTTTAAAATGACACATCTTAAATTTAATAATTTACTGTAAACTTGTCGGGTTTTTTTTTTCCTGCATTGAAACTCTGATGATGCAATATTGCATCATGTAACCATATAGTATTGTATAGTAAACAAGTCATTACACGCACATATTTCTGCCAATGCTTGCTGAACTTCTTGACACTGCATGACATGCTCACCTGCCAACACTTGCTTGTTGAGACCTTTCAGCGGACTTGCCTACCGATCAGTTACAACTTGCATTTTGTGTTTATTTGGAAAATAATGTAACCACTACAACTTTAATTCTGTTACACAACAGATGAAACATGTATGAATGGTTTTTCAAAATTTTCTTATCTTCTCTTCTTTCCTTATGCTTCCACTGCCCACTTCTTTTTAGCCAATGCCCCCCAATTGCACCTGAGGCTACTACCACCCACCCTCCCCCGGCCCCGATCATTCTGGCATCCCCCAGGGGGTGGTGTTGCCCACTTTTGAACCTATGCCCATATCTCTCCATCTTGCCTATAGAAACAACATAAGACCATCAAAAGCTTTTCTAAAATCTTGGTTAATCTGTATCTATAGGATCTCCTGATCCACCCACCTACTTGGTCTATCAGAAAAGAAAATTCTATCAGTTCAGGTTCAGGTGCTTAAGTTGTAGCTAAAGATGCTACCTACAACTCAAGTTTGCTCCTTATTGGAGGAAAAGATGACTAGCAACAGCAGTTATACATGCCTGACTGACTAAAAGGTATAGAACTTGACAGAGTTGCTTGGATAGTGCAAATTTGCTGTGATAGTGAAATCTGCCTATTCAGCAGTCCCACAAGTCTCCTGGGAGTATAATGTTACTGGCAAAATGTGTTAATATTTCATGTTTTAAGTATTTGTCAAAATACATTTATGAACCTTTTGTGTTCTAAGCATTTCTTTGGTGGTGGAGGGAAAAATGGCCTTTCTATACCTGAAAAATAAATGGGTAAGGAACTAATAAGATACTAAAGCACTAAGGTAAGAAAGTACTAAGAATCATCATTTTTAGGCCATCCATAAATGTTAACTAGTACTGTAAATATGAGATCCTTGTTCGATGTGCAATGAATTGCCATACTACTAGAAGCATATCACCATACCAATATTTACATCCTTATTATAAATAAAAACAAGATATAAAAAGGTTGCTGCTAAATGAAAGGATGGTTTTTAGGTTTTTCTTAATGAGACAGAGGAAGAATCTGGTACAGCTGGTTTCATCATATCTCCAAATGCAAGAAGAATATAATTTCAGGGGATATTTGGTAATTTTGTTTTGCTGTTTTCTTTATTTGCATAAGCAAAAAACCTCACATGAATACAGCATACATTATGTAACAAAAGCTGTTGGAGAAGACAAAAGGGTAGAAAAAGTACTTGATAAAATCCTCCAATGCCATACAAAATATGATTAACTACTCAAAGACTTCAATGTAAAGGTGAATGTAAAAGAAGACAGAAAAAACATGTTGGAAATTTGTTTCAGGATTAAGACACTTAAGAGGCTAAAAATTTAAAAACTATACAGAAGTTTCACTTTGATATAACTGCTCTCAATATCACGTCCAATACGGGTGGGGGTGATTCAGTGAAAGATAGGAGCAAATAAGTTTCTGGGAATGAGTTACACAAGGGGAAAGGATCTGTGAAGAAGCTTGTGATGGACACTTGACTTTTAAGGGGAACCCCATTTACCTTTCATGGACTCGGCCTCTTTCGTCTCCCAGAGTCACGGTCACTGTGCAGTTTTTATTCAAGTCAAACTTCTCACTATACAAATGGTAGTCTGGTGTCACCCACCCGACCCAAGTGTAGCAAGGGTCCTGGCCAGCAAATATGCGCACAGAATAATAGCACTGCTGTAGAGAAAATATGATGGGTTAATGAAAAAAGCTAAAGCACTGCCATACAAATTCTAAAGCACCAATGTTGATTGAAAACAAGAGCAATAAGATGGTAAAGCATTTGGAGCTTTGTCTGTAGATTTTTACTAGGTGGTGATTCTCTCTCAGTGGCCACACTGGGTTCCCAAGAAGCACTAGGTGACTATATATGTGAAATAAGAGTTGATCGGAGAGTAAGGCTTCCTAGTTGTTAACTTCCTGTCCATCCCTTAACAGCTCGTGAAAGTACCAATATCCCCTCCCTTTTGCTATAAAATAATAAAGACAGACTAAAGACCAGGAACAGTCATTCAGAATGGTGTTATATACACAGAAGAGACTAGTGACAAAGCACATTATTGTAAAATGCTGAAAAGAATTTTAACATTCACAATGGCTGAAAGGTTTAATAACTGATATAGCTTTTACTCTGGTGTGCTAGGTTAACCGTAAAGTTATTGAAGAGAAAAAAGCAAACCACCTAGTCAAACATCAATATTTGCTTTATATGTATGTTCTATCAGTAGTCATTAAACTTTACTGAAGTTAGGCTCCTCTCTGCACAATGGATTCCAATGTAACTTTGGGGAATCTATATTCCTGCAATGCAGGGAGGTGAGTATTCAATTCCTTTCAAGGGATTTTTTTAAACCACTAATAAATACCTATGATAGAGAGTAAGGAATTAAGAGGTATTACTTTCCTTTTTTATAACATATAATTATAATAAAATTATTACATATGATGCAATTATTAATTTTTATATATATTGAGTATTTTACATGTGCTGAAGCAACCCTTTTTCTTTGGACTGGCTTCTCACTGCTTCTCCCCACTTAATCACTTTCATTATCTTCCTGGTTTGGGGAGGGGGAGGGTTATGAGTAACTAATACATAAAAGAACAATCAGAAGGGTTACATGAAATCCTAATATACTCAAAAAGGTAATATTGAGATAAATAATCAAATAATGTAAACCTTAACCGAGCAAATATTACTTACCGTTGTTGTATGAGCAACTATTTCTTGTATCTGTTTCCTGGGGGATAGAAGGGAGAGAAAAGAAATAATCATGTTTTAGTTATTCACCAGTTTAGAGAATCTAGTTGATTTAACAGCCAGTTGACATTTCTTTAATATTTTGTTAAAATTTATAAAACTGGAATATGAGTCTTGACAATGCTAGCTGGTCCTTGGACTTTGCTCTAAACATGTCACTGCCCACCCTCCCTCTCTTAACCACCTATGGCTTCATAATATCTAGTATATAATGAGTTTTTATAGGAAAATAAATCAATTAGAGGCAGTTCTATAAGATAAATATATGCATGGTCACTATTAAAAATGTGGACCAGGTTGGGGCAGTATTTCCAATACATCAAACCAAAGTCAAGCTTAGGTTAATATTGATATTCTCTGTCCATGTGTATCTGTGCTAGGAATTGTTTCTTAGTTTAACTAAAAAACTTTGTCTCTGCTGCCCTCTATGAGTTTATAGTATCACAAATGGTCAAAAGAGATGAGAAATTTAGTTGATATTTTTCTCTAAACAAAAGGGAAATGGTATGTTAGAGGTCTAGGAAATAAGTGAGGTTAAGAATAAGTAGAAATCTCACCACTAGAGTTATATGCTTATATAGTTTTAGATTGATCATTTTAATTAGACACCTAAAAAAAGTCTCTCAAACTTCACAAACACATGCATGCATTTCTCTCCCTCCATTTCAACATACATCCATACACATAAATGCACACATGTGCATGCATACACATTTCTCTTTTCATAGCTGTTAGAGTGAAGCAAAGGCTGCATCTTACCTTTTCTGAAAAATGTCACTTTCCAAACCAGTACTGTGGTGGAAGGAGGAATAGCATTCCACAGGCATGCTCAGGCGACAGTAGATCATTTCAGCACTGCTATTCTGTGTGCCAAATGTCTTGTGGGTGACCTTAAGGCAGGGTGGGGTATCCATTGTCCCATCAATTCTTATGACCTGAAAACACAAACTTTACAATGTAGCATTTGGGGGTCCTAGGCCTTATTTTTTCTCTCTATTACTCATTTTGAATTTCTCTTGCTTACTTATAACTAAGAAATGATGATTCTCCAAATGCAATCACTAAAGTCACTGTGACTTTTCACTATTTTATGAGTTTGTCTGATGCAAAGTTTATTTTCTGCAGATCCAAGTAGGAAGGAGTAAAGTCTCCAAACTAGAAGCACTCCAAATTATTCTACCTAAAAGACTGACTGACATGGGCCTAAATTGGAGCAAGAAGACAGGAAATTTTTTATTTTTCATGTCTCTTTCCTTTGGTTTCTTATAGAGATGAACAGAGAGCTTCAGAAATCTTTTGTACCCAGCTACTTATGTATGCACCTCAAATGCAATTTCATATTTATGCCATCAAAGTCAAAACTATGGATCAGTGGCTTACAAAAGATTCATCAAAAGAGCAGACATTTCATGGAACAAGCAAGGGAGAAAAAAACAACTAAATTGCATCCTAGGAAGACAGGAGAATTAGGCTGTGTTTAGTAATACTTATTTTATTTTAAATCTTGGTATTTTTACCTTCTCTACACTTAAATAATGATCAGTGAAAAGCTCACAGAAGAGAGTCCTAATGAAGACAATGATACAGGATTAGGAGGTTAAGAAACTGGTTAAGAAATAATGTGCTCAAAATTAAAGAAAAAGAAAAAATGGTAGAATTTATAATGAACAAGAAACTAGAACACTTAGAATCAATATCATAGTAGAACTGCCTTGGTTCCCTTCATAGCACAAAATTGTAGCCAACTTGGGCTAGATGATTACAATTTAAGGGTATAGTTAGATTGGGCAGTTAGATTGAATTTCCCTCATTTTAATTTAAATCAGCAAACATTCACTGAAAAGCCTACTCTGTGCAGGGTTCCATTTTTATTACTAAGCTGGAAGTTTTGCAAGTTCTGGAAGTTGTATATTTTTGAAATAAGGGAAGCTGTAAAGACATATGTCATCTCTTAATCCACAAGCCTAGAAAGACTTCCACAGTGTCATGGTGTGACAGAAATCAAGTTAGGTCTGAGAGCTTGGGTTTTAAGCACATAAGGACTAAAACCACAGAATTACAACACTTAGTCCTTGTGTTCCTATAAGTGATTAATGTTGTTGATTATTGCATACAACCTCACCATGATAGAGCAGACTTAGAAGGGACAGTTTTATAGTTATGAGGAATCTGTTTACAAGATATTGCAGTTGTCAACTAAAAACAACCACCGAGTCATTAAGATATAGCTTTATAGACCTACACAGAATGCTTATAATTGTTACAAAGAGTCAAAAAGGAAAACAAGAAGGAGCTAAGGTAATGTTACATGGCTTTATGCAAGAGGTTAGATGATGACAGGGATTAATGTCTTGGCACATCAGGCTCCACTAGGGCTTCCCTTGAATATGTAATCCTACCTCTATATGAGTATGATCCTTTGGCACATTGACAAATGTAGGGAGGCGTTTGCTGAACCACATAGCAACATCTCGGTTCATGTTGACAGCAAAAGGCTCAAAGCCCTCCTGGAGGCCACACATGGTGTAATACTTGAAGGTACTAGCATCCATCCCAAGGTTCATACGGCCAATCTGAGACAAACCCAGTGAGCATATGGGGACAAAACCTATAGAACAGTAGAAAGAAGGCCCAATTTAGCCAGCACATTCTATTGCCTTGAGGCTGGTGAGGAAATCTAACATCTCTACATACTTAATAACAACGGAACCCAGGGGGAAGCTGGTGTTTTAGCAACCATTTTCTCCATAACATATCCAATAGAACTAGTGACTGACTGCAAAAATGATTTGGGAAAAGCAATTAATCACATGAATTTCTTAGTGATGAAAACAAGGACAAAACAGAAAGACGAAACCAAATACAGAAGAAAAAGTAGACTTTTCCTACTATTTCTTAAGGGTGGAAAGTTATATAAGGGCCCAGTTAGGGGGAAAAGATAAATTTTTTAAAACTATGAAATACTAAATTATAGGACATGACAAAAAAAGTTAAGGGAATAAGGTCCTTTCTCCCTTTAAAGCACTGGTGACATACATGGGGATATCATTACTAATCTACTTTATATAGGAAAAAAAAAGAGTTAAGGGAAGGTATAGCAAAAGTCTTAAAAATCTTCGTTTTCCTTCCTACAGCTATGTAATTATCTCACCAAGCTAGATTTTGAATCCTTACCCACACTCAAAATTACCATTCATAAAAAGACCAAAGAAGAAGTTCAGTCTGTTTGGCTCTCACTTGTGTTAAATCTATAAATACTAACTGTAGCCAAATAAACAGACCATGGAGGGAAAGCAATACTTATCTGGGTACTAGAACAATCTGGATGAAAGTTTATGGAGCAGGGAGGAAGAGAAGGAAAGAAGCAGAGAAAGATGTGTTTTTTTTTTGTTTGTTTGATGGCTAAAGGAAAATTTATCCTAAAGATATTTAAAGGTAACTTTAGAAAAGCTTACATTTCATAATGAATACTATCTTTCATTGAGATTAAAAACCAAAATATAGTCTTTCTGGAAAAATTTACACAGCATATTCTACTCAAGGCATGCAACCTAGAATTCAAAATTGAGTCAGATATAGACAGATAAACAAATCACTCCAGAGGGTAGGTGGGACACTTCCAGAGATACAATTATTCTTTCTAGATAACAGGACCATTTAGAAATGGGTAATGGCAGTAGATTAAGTGAGTGGGTGGGGTAGGTAATCTCCAAATTTCCATGAGCACCCTACACTGTCTGGAAGACCTTGGTTCTGCCTCTGACCCATACTAGTTGTATAGGCAGGTCACTTAACATCTGCAGTGCTACCTGGCACTACCTCTAAAGTTACAAATTACAGGTGAACTGTACATCTGCATGAGCAGAGGAAATTTCACAGTTTCCTACCTAGATGAAATAATTGGCTATGCTTAAAACAAAACCATATCCATAGGTAACTGTATACTGGTGAGTTAGAAAGTCTATTATTGGGCTAGGGCACACAAAGATGTTCTAATAGAAGCTGTCACCACAACCAAATTAAAAGTACAAGTTTCTGCTAATAGTGGGCAATCCAAGAAAAAAAAAAGCAAACCCAGTGGCTTCTCTTGGAATATAGTTACGGTGTAAGCAGAAATTGGGACTTTCCAAAAACAATCCTTTCCTTTCCAGTCCATTGATATGACTGGATTAAAGGCAGCAGGTGGCAGAAGTAAAAAAAAAAAAAAAAAAATTTAGGAAGCAGCAATTACAACTAAAAGCATAGTAAAATATTTCTAACTTTCAGCATAGTTTATTGGGTGAATTGATAATGCTACAGAAAGAAAAGCATGATCCTACATGTAATTTATTTTTTCTAAGGAAATTACAGCTTTTCTCAGATTCTTATTTCAGCGTTACTGAAAATTAAGCGGAGGGCTACATTGTATTAAAGAGAAAATTGATATGCAAAGGGGCAAAAGGATTTAAGCAAGGTCATTATGTGAATTTCTGACAAAGATGGTAAGAAATATTAGATTTTCTGACATAAACAATATGACAAGTCTTCAGGAGATCATTTGAATTCTACATTCATTCATCTGTGCATTATTCTGCAACAAAATGACCTTTTTCCAATTTTAACAGCAATTGTGTCTCTGGAAGTAAAGAAAAGGAACATTACAAAGCAAAATAGTATCATCCTCAATGATGGCGGTGGAGAGGTAAGACATAACAAAAAGTTACAGAAGAGAATAAATAGAAAGAAAATAGCTTAAGGGACATCTCAGTGGATGGGGGATAATACCTGCAAGTAGAAGATAAGCCAAACCAAATACCTGATTCAGAGCAGAGAGAAAGGAGAATAGGCTCCAGAAAAAAAACAAGCCCAAACGAATACTATAAGAGAGAGAGAGAGAGAGAGAGAGAGAGAGAGAGAGAGAGAGAGAGAGAGAGAGAGAGAGAGAGAGAGAGAGAGAGAAAGAGAGAGCAATAATGCCAAGATCATAGAGTCTTATAGCTAGAAGGGATCTTGAAGCCCATCTAGTTCAATTACTAACTGACAAGGAATATTCTCTTTAATATCCCTGACAAGCAGGCATCTAGTTTCTACTTAAAGAACACCAATGACAGACAATTCACTACTGCCCAAGGAAACAATCCATTACACTTTTGGACAACTCTAATTGTTAGGAGTTTTCCCCCCTTTCATTGAGCCAAAATATGCATCTTTGTAACTTCTACTCATTATTCCACATTCTGCCTCCAAAGAACAAGAACAAGACTAATCTCTCTTCCACATGTTAGCCTTTCATATCTTCGAAGACAGCTATCATGTCTTCCTTAAGTCTCGTCTTCTCCAAGTTAAACATACTCAGTTCTTTCAACTGATTCTTTGACTTATTGCACAATAGAACTTGCCTCTAATGGCAACATATCTCAGTAGTCACATTCATTACTTTAGTTCTTTCTATTGAATGAAAAGTAGAAGGTTATGACTCCATTTCCATAATGTTGTTTATTCAAGGCATCAAAATACTATGTAAATCTTCAGAACATTGCTCTGGTATGGGCAATATTATAAATAAGAGTCAACAAGTATTTATTATGCACCTACTAAGTATCAGACACAGTGCTAAGTGCTGGGAATACAACAAAAGAGAAAAACAAAACAAGTCCCTGCTCTCAAGGTAGGTGAGGAGAAAGGGAAATTAAGGCATGGAGAGCAAATCGGAAAGGGAAATGGAGAAGCAGGGCAGTGCTTGAATTGAATTCTATCTAGAGCTAGAATGTATATTTTCTAATTCTTGATCACTAATCATTATGTATATCAACTGTCCCTCTTCTCATATGTAATTTCCTCAACCATTGAACATTATGTTATATTGCTTATAGTTGTGGTAGATAGAAGAGCAGGACAAAGCATTTTGGGCTCCATGGAAAAAAAGAGAGCCCTATGCAGGCATGTTAAATTAAGAAAAAAAAAACCCTTACAGTAAGCCACAATACTCAAGGCAGCTAAGTGGGTTCAGTGGATCTCTATCCACCACCTGGAGTCAGGAAGACCTGGGTTCAAATCCAGCCTCATAAATTTACTAGCTATGTGACCCTGGGCAAGAGACTTAATCCTGTTTGTCTCCATTTCCTCATATGTGAAATGAGCTGGAGAAGGAAATGGCAAACCACTTCAGTGCCTTTACCAAGAAAACCCCAGAAAGGGTCATGCAGAGTCAGACATGACTGAAATGATTTAACAACAGCAAGCCACCATATATCATTAGGCCAAATAATGATCTTTCTGAACATCAACTATCATTTTTTTACTTGGTAACTTCTGAAGTGTATTCTCCATGTTGTAAATACTGGGGAACAAAAAAATAGTGTAAAACAGAAATGTCAAAAAATGTCAAACTCTCCTTTCTCCTCCTCCTGCTTCTCTCTGTCTCTGTCTCTGTCTCTGTCTCTCTCTCTCTTTTTCTCCCTCTTCCTTTCTGGAAATGGCACAAAGAAGTGCTATAGTCCAAGCAGATGAGAGTCAGAGAAATAATAAATTCTGTTGAAAGAGATGAAAGGAAATCATCTAGAATATTGATAGGAATAAGGATTTATGAATAACAGAAGAAAAGTCACATCAGAATTTTAAATGTTTGTACCTGCCTCCTCCTACAAAGTACCAATTTCATTTCACATTCTGGATAATTTTGAGTACATTAAATTAAAAAAGCTTTGCACAAACAAAGCCAATGCAACCAAAATTAGAAGGGAAGCAGAAAACTGGGAAACAATTTTTATAGCCAGTGTCCCTAATAAAGGCCTCATTTCTATAATATATAGAGAACCAAGTCAAATTTATAAGAATATATGTCATTCTCCAACTGATAAACAGTCAAAGGATATGAACAGGCAGTTTCCAGATGAAGAAATTAAAGTTATCTAAAGGCATATTAAAAAAATGCTCTAAATCACCATTGATTAGAGAAATGCAAATAAAAATGACTCTGAGGTACCATATCGCACTATCAGATTGGCTAACATGACAAAACAGGACAATGATAAATGTTGGAGAAGATGTGGGAAAATTGGAACACTAATGCATTGTTGGTGGAGTTGTAAACTGATCCAACTATTCTGGAGAGCAATTTGGAACTATGCCCAAAGGGCTATAAAATTGTGTATACCCAAAATCTAGAGCTTCTAGAATTTTGAAAAAATACTGTAAGTAAGAATTCAAATATCATGAAACTACAGCTAGGATACCAAAAGACTTAGCAGCTAACAGTATCAAGGACAGGAAAACTTGGAATATGATATTCCAAAAGACAAAAAAATAAAAAGTCACACATCCAAGGATAACACAAAGAGAAAAATTATCATCCTACAGGGGAAAAATAGACATTTTCTGAATGAAAACTACCTAAATCTCTTAAAACTGGAGGTCAATGGGGCAGCTAGGTGGCACAGTGGACAGAGCACCAGCCCTAGAGTCAGGAGGACCTGAGTTCAAATCTGGCCTCAGACACATAATACTTCCTAGCTGTATGACTCTGGGTAAGTCACTTAACCTCAACTGCCTCACTAAAAAAAACAAAAACAAACCCACAGATCAAAATAAAAATAGAAAGAATCTACTAGTCACATCCTAAAAGAAACC